GACACAGACACAAATTGCCATGTTACTCTCTAGAGTTCATTGTAAAGCATTATCTATTGTGAAGGGTCATTTCATTATGGATGATGTTATAGCGTTGTGCTGAAACTTATTTTTGAGGAAGTACCGTCCGTGTCTACAGTTTTATCAAATAAAATGGTGAAATACTGGTCAAGTGAGTGACTCTCTGAGCAGCAGTGGAAATGACGTTTATGTGTTCATCTTCTCATATAGTGGCTGCGTCCGAAACCTTAGGCAGCTGATTTGTTGCCTCTGCCTAATCAGGCAATACCTCTCAACCGTCACAGAATGGAACGCATATGATTGTGGGATATCAAAGGCAGTGAAGTATACTTCTATGCTGCCTTCAAAAATGTATCAGATGAATGTATCTAAGGAGACAGGAAATTAAGCTAACATTGGATTCGGACGTGCCTTGATTGCCTTCCTACCTTGGAATGAGTCCTCCAAAGGCAGCATTTTTAAGCTTTCGGATGCAGCCAGAGAGACGGCAGACGCTGAAAACACCCCGGTTGTCACGCATGTTTGAGTATGTGTAGTAGACGACACCATGGGGCTCATTCACACAGACATGCAGAACGTGCATATTTAAATAACAGTCCAGTGTTTCCCACAGGATTTTGTGAAACTGTGGTGGGTGGACCTTGGTCCCTCTTGGCATGCCCCCCGTAAGAAAATTTTGTACATTTTAAAGTTAAATTCATAAATCTGGTGAACTTTGAAAGTTCAAAATTAAGAACTCAAATTGAAACAAAGTCAGTGCATTCACTTGCACCTAAACTTTTAAGGGGACTCAAACCTCTTTTTAGTTGTGATATAGTGTCTCAGTCTAGATTACAATACATAAAACTAATAAATACTAATAAAACATTATTCCTATGACAGTAATGGACAGTAATCATAAAACAAATTCACTGCTGACTAAATTAAACTTTCATAACTAGGTTTGTTCTAATTTCTATACATGCAAGAGATAAACCCGTGAGCTTTTATTTTATTTTTTAATTTTAAAAACTGCAGTCAAGCTTTTATTTTGGCGGAAAACAAGTTTACAAACGCATCTCTTTCCAAATCTAGTGCAATTATGTAATCGTCACCTATGCAAATGTGAAAATAATAATGCATAACTGGTGCCCTCTACGTTCCCAAATACATGCTTAACTCAACACATGCACAGATAGAGTTCACTGCATTCATTCACAAACAGTGAACTGAAACGTAGAGCTGATCACATGCTGATTGCGTCAGCCAAGTGCGAACTTCTCTTTGCACAGCGCAAACAGACATGCTGCATCCGAAATCGCATACTTCCCTGCTATAGTAGGCGAAAAACAGTATGTAACAAACAAAGTATGTCCAAATTCACAGTACTCATAAATTACAAGTTTTTTTTTAATGTTATTATGAGAAGTTTAATTATATTTGCAGGGGCCACAGTCCAGTTAATGAATGGAAAGCATTGACATCTATCTGTGGCAATCAATGTTGATATTGTGGCGAGCCGCACTGCAGTCTTTTTGCAGTTTAATATTCATAGACACTAGTCCATAATTGTAATTTTATTAAGTGTACAGGCCTACTTTTGATTTATTCATCCAAATTTTGCCAACTTCCACGAAATTCAATTTAAATTCAATTTTTAATACTGGATTCCATGATTCCGTCCATGTTTATAGGACCCTAACATCAAATAAGGTGACAGAACGGAAATGATTTGCTTATTAAGCATAATCATTCTAAGAATGTGCAGCTAAACACTCAAGAAAGTGGCAACTAGACGAAAAGAATAAAAGCAGAGACATGTACCTTCTTCCTGCCTTTCCATTAACTTTAAGGATCCAGGGCTGGTCCTCCACCTTGAACTCCTTCGTAACGATACCATACTTCTTTCTCCGTGATTCCTCTCTCTGTTTCTTTCCAAACTCACTGCCTGCCGCCCCCTCCTGATTCTCCTCCTCACCATATATACGCCTATTGCTCATGTCCCGCTCCATACGAGCCTAAACATGATGGATGGATGGATGGATAGAAATAAATTAAAAAAGAGAAAACAAATGGAAAAAGACAGGAAAGAAAATATGGCATGGAATAAAGTAGTGGTCTTATATAAAGCCAGTTTACCTGAGTCCATGCAGAACAACTGACTTTATCACCAGCATTGAAAGCCATTAAGTTGTATTTCTTACTGGTGTTTCTGTTGGGCAAAGAAAGATGACCTGAGTTTAGATATCAATCACTTTTTCTTTTTTTTCAAAGATCACTCTAGTTGAAATGAAATAATATATAATATAAATAAATAAAATCTTACTTAGGAACTCGTACTACATACTCCGTTGTGGAGGAACTGCTGCTCCCCTGCAAACAAGAACAATCTCTTAGGGCTGAGAGACAGTTATACTTCTAAGAGTTTGTACTGCTGAACTGTACAGTTTGATGATATTATAGATAAAAATTGATACATCACTTCTAAAATGCCCAATTTGTATTCTGCCAAATATGACTGGTGTTGGACAATCTGAATGATTATAAGTAGATGCTGAGGCACTTACCAGTGACGTCATCACTGCAGAGCGAGAAGTAGCCTTAATAACCTGCAAGAACATATGATTCGTTGAAACGGGCCTCCGAATTCTGGTCATATGATCAACATGTTGGCCCACATGAGGCGACTCGCTCAATGTATAATAAAACTTGAATTAAAAGAAACATAGCTTTTATTTGGCTGCTGATGTTACTGGATTCGTCGTATCATGAGTGTTCTTTATTATTAGTATTTATTATTATAATTTTTTTCAAGGTACACAGCATATGTTGCAGAATGTTACTTACCTAGTCCATACAAAATGTAACTTGGATTTCAGATTCAATGGTTCTACGTTGGTATGATTTTTTTAAGTAACGTTAGCCATGTAACGTTAATAAAGAGGGATATGAGCAGTCAGCAGGTCATGGGGCAATGAACCCATTAATGACAGGCTGGCTCACTTAAGTTGTTATTGTTAGATAAGTTACACACTTTAAAATAAGTCTTGATTTAAAAGACAATGGAAGTGGACAGCACATGTTCTCAATGTCCTTATTATTACACTGGATGAAATGAATTCACCGACATTGACTTTATTCATTTAACATCCATAGTATGCATTTAAGGTAGACATTAGACAACGCGCACTCACCGTAAAATCTTTAGTTGTGCTATGTTGATGTAACTTAACGTTATGAACGGATGTAACTTAACGCTTAACCGGACAAATAGAGAAGGTCCGATGATCCACTTCACTTAACAATACTTGTAGCACCTCGTCTGGCTGCTGATATCGTTTCGTTTCTAATTTTTGTATTCGATAAATAGATTTAGTAAACTCTCTTTAAAAAGGTACACTGACAAAATTAGGGATAAGATGGAAGCAGCTCATACTGCCCACAACGAATATTCTTCTTCTCTGAGCTAGTCATTAGTTTCATTGAGACTTACTGCCACCTGCTGTACCGAATAATTACTGATAGTGGTGGGCGCTTAAGCTGCGAAATCTTTACACATCTTTTTTTTTCTTCGAATCACTGGTTCGGAGCCATACTGTAAAAAAAAGTATCAAACTGCCAAAGTCACGTGATTTCAGTAAACGAGCTCTGAACGAGGCTTCGGAACATCATAACTGTTTCGAAACGTTTCGAAATGTCAATGGTTCACCGCTGGGGGGCGATGATCTCTGTTAGCCTATGCAGTAGTATGCGGACTCACTCAGATCGCCCTCCAGCGGCGAACCATTGAACAAGTGTCTAAGGGTTTTACGGTTTTGCCTGATCTCTGATCAGTTTATACATTTGTAGATGTTTTAATGGTACATTAGTACAATACTATATATATATATATATATATATATATATATATATATATATATATATATATATATATATATATATATATATATATATATATACTCTTTTTTAAATTATTTATTGTGCATAATCTTCACTCAAGCTGTAATTTGTCAAATTACTCAAATAGTGTGTAATTATTTTTTTAATAGGGTGAAACCTAAAATTCTGGCTGTGAAATTAGCCTTTTAATATTAATAGTCTCTTATTGACCTGTTTAACTGAGCCATGGAACAAACAAAACATGCCCTGAAAATTGATTACACCGGCACTTAATATTTAATCTTATTAGATGATATTTGCGTTGATTTAACGTTCAATAAAACATTTGCAATGGGTTTGTGGAAGGTGTTTTGTGCATGTTTTACATGAGTTTGTGTTGCATATTGCATTTACACCGTTCTGGCAAGGGGTTGCGTTTCGAATCATTTCGCGAAGCAATTGGTTCAAGTGATTCGAAGCATTGAAAAGCTTTGTTTCTCCCTCCCATCACCAAATTACTGCAGTGAGTGTGAGTCTGTGTGCATTGAACACAAAGCAGATTTTTTATTTTATTAATTTTTTCTGTGAAGCTTTAACACTGACTTAGATAGCTACTTTATCCGTTGTCCCAAACTTTCAATTTTAAACTCTGAAAATCCACCATAAAAAAATCAGAATTATTACATTATTTAATCCCAAAGAGTGAAATTAAAAGAAACCATTTTTATTTATTGTGCATAATCTTCACTCAAGCTGTAATTTGTCAAATTACTCAAATAGTGTGTAATTATTTTTTTAATAGGGTGAAACCTAAAATTCTGGCTGTGAAATTAGCCTTAGCAAAACAATTGAGTTGGACACTTTTTATTTCAAAATGTTATTTTGTTACAGAATGTTCTCACAATGCACGATTTGAGATACAGTTGGACAGAAATCTCCTGTGATATGTTTACACTGCTAGATATTGTTAGTAGACAGATTAAATTAATTAGTAAAAAGTGTTAAAATATTTATTTAATTATATTTAAATGTCCACAGGGCCAAAAGTTGTATATCACTTTTGCACAGCTAAGTAAAGTTAAAGAAAATGCATAAACTAAAAAAAAACTAAAAGCAAAAGAAGCCAGAAGCCAGGAAAACACAGACACACACACACCAAATGTTGCTCATTTAGGCTTCATTTTGACCAATGTCACTGTGCACCCATAGAGAAGAGAGAGGAGGAAGAGGGCGAGAAAGGCACAGGCCATATTCCAGATCTCTTCAACGGTATCCTGCACAATAGATTCGGGTTTGTTCTCATTCATAAATATAGCCTCTTCAAATAATGCTGTAAAATGCAAACAGAGGAAACATTAAGATCACATTTGAAAATTATGATATTTCTAAAGTTTATTGACTCAATTATTTCCTTAATAAACTTGAAATATTGCATACCTGATTTTTTGGAAATGTTAAGCAACTGGGTACCAGTTTCATGAGTGACCCTGCATGTGTACACTTCACCAGGTGCCCAATCTGAAGGCAGGAGTTGCAGGTGACTTCGGATGCTAAATTTGCCATCAGGGCCTTTTGCGGGGTTGGTGTCATTGTGGGCAGACACCTCATTCATTCCAAGCAGCCAGGTGATGTTGATTACAGGAGGACTGAAACCATACGCCAGACACACCAGCTCACTAGCACCCTGCAGCAGCTTTGCAGATGGAGCAGAGTGGATCAAAGAGGCTAAATAAATAAAAAACAGAGAGAAACAGATCAGATAATAGAGCATACAGAGGTGTATGTATTGCAAATATATGTTGTTGTATTTTGCTATAGTTACTGTCTTCTATAGAAAGATATATCAATCTGATGACACCCACCGTACAAGTTCTCCAAATTTGCGATAAATGGACTTTGGGATGACTCATGATAAACAATGCAAGAGTACACGCCTTCTCTCCACTGTGATGCAGGCAATATTAGGGCACTATGCATTGAAAAACCTCCTGAAGTGTGAGCAACCACAGGACTGTTAGTGAAGTGAGACTCATTGAATTGCGTCCCATTTAGTTGCCACTGCACGGAGATATCAGATGGGAAGAAACCGGTGATGAAGCAAAGAAGGCTTGTATTTTGTCCAGAGAGATCGCTGTCTGAGGGTCTGAGGATCCTCACAGTGGGTTGTTTGGGGTCTGTGAACATTAGGCAACAATTAGTAAAGATAAAACTCTTTAACAGAAGGTTGAGAACTGTGAGTGCTCACCTCTGTTTTTTGAGATGTTCTCCTGCTGTGTGACGTTAGAGCACAAATGCTTTACCTCACAGGTAAAGACAGCATATGTCTTCCATGTTTCAAATGTAACCTCCAAAACACTTTTCTTGCTTTGAGTGCCATTGGCGTGATCTATAGGTGTTTGGTCAAAGCTATTTGGATTAAGAGAGATTCCATTTCGTTTCCATTGGAGGGAGAAATACTTGACATTCTGGCCAACAACCAAACAGGTCAAATTCAGAGCTGTGCCATATCTCACATGATTTAAAGGACCATGCAGGTAGACCGCTGTCTGCAGACTGGAAGGTGCAATCACTGTTGGATGGTAAACTTATTTGTTAAGATATTACATTCACTGAACTACAGGTAAGGAAGAAACTATATTCTTTCATGAATTTTAAGATTGTCAGATATCTGCACCTCATTGCAATGTTATTTGAACTATGAGAGAGAGAGAGAGAAAGAGAGAGTGTGTGTGTCACATATGGTGTGTTTACCTGCACAAATACTGGTGTTTCTTTCAGTAGTTTTCCCACTGTTTTCATCAACAATTTGACAGGTGTAAGTGACCCCTTTATCCCACTCTTGCTGCGGCACCAATATCTCACTGTACACTTTCACATAGCCATTTTCCATCATTGAGACATCTAAAGCTGTGCCATTTTTCTCCACAGATTCTGAAAACCACTTGATCTTCAGGTCGAATCCTTTTCCAGAACACAGCAGCCTTTGTGGATCTGAACTCAATCTGAATGGACCCACACTGGGAACAACAACAAGCTCTATGGTAGGATCATCTAAGGGGAAAAAAGTTATCAAATGTCCAGTGAAGAAAACATAATACATCCATATATTAGTAAAATGAATTTCAATCCATGAATTAATGTCTCCAATATAATTAATGATAAGAAGGTTTCATTTGTTTACATTAGTTAACTTGAACTAACAATAAAGAATAAGTATACATCATTTGCTAATATTAGTTTATGCTAATCTCAACATTTACTTATACATTTTTTAAGATGAAAATCTGTTAACTTTATGCACTGTGAACTATCATGAACATGTTATTAAATAAACAAAGGTGTTTAAGTTTTATAAAAATACAGTGAAGTGAAGTGAAGTGAAGTGAAGTGAAGTGAAGTGAAGTGAAGTGAAGTGAAGTGAAGTGAAGTGAAGTGAGGTGAAGGCCAACTCTAGGTGACTCATACTCGGAATTTGTCCTCTGGATTTAACCCATCCAAATTAGTGCACACACATTAGGAGCAAAGAGTTGTGAACACACACACGCACGCACGCACGCACGCACGCACGCACGCACACACACACACACACACACACACACACACACACACACACACACACACACACACATACCAGTGATAAATTGGTGTATTTGTTAATTGTTACTACATTTACGTTATTGCATTAACAAATGTTAACAAACTAGACATTTTTTTGTAAAGAGTTACTGATGTGTACTAAAAATGTTCATTCCCTACCAAAAAAGTTTCCAGCAGGTTCTGATGCAAAGCTTTTGAAGAGTCTGTGAACTGTGCAGGTAAATCTGTTTCCTTTCTTCTGGTGCTCACTAGGGATTGTAAAATGTGTGGTCAGGGACCAAAGGTTTTCAGAAGGGACCCAGTCCACACAAGTGAAATCTGAGATATCAGCTTGGTTGGCCTGGAAGTTGATGCAGACCTCACCAGAGGGGAGATCTTTTACAACACACTCCAGTAAAGCAGTGCCCGACTGAGCTGATTTCTTGAAAGTCCTCCTGATCACCACTACAGGATTCTTCTCCATATCAGCTGAAGATCAAACATACATTATAATTCACAATATGTGGTTTTCCGAACCTAAATTGTCACACTTGATCAGTGCAAAATAAACATCTTACCAACTTGAATTTTAGCGCTCTCTTCTGGGAAACATGGATGATTAGCAGTACAAACAAGGGTCTTCAGTTTCAACCACTCGGCTCTGGACAAAGTCAAGTTGCTCACAATTTTATTGAGAAGGTCTTTGGAAGCCCTGGTGGCTTTTTCTCTGTTGTCTACCAACCATAACACTTCAGTGTTGTGTGGCGCTTCAACAATACAAGAAATTTTGACTTCGTTCTCCTTCAAAATGTCTCTGAGATGGGCTCTCTTTACTTGGACTGAAGGTTTGAACACAGACTTTGCTGTAATTGTGAAATGAATAAAGTTAGATTCATAGAATGATGATGCTTATATACTAATTATACTGTATATATGATTCATCTTCATTTTTTACAATATTCTTTCATGAATTTTAGGATTGTCAGATATATGCACCTCATTGCAATGTTATTTGAACTATGAGAGAGAGAGAGAGAGAGAGAGAGAGAGAGAGAGAGAGAGAGAGAGAGAGAGAGAGAGAGAGAGAGAGAGAGAGAGAGAGAGAGAGTGAGTGTGTGTGTGTGTGTGTGTGTGTGTGTGTATGTGTGTGTGTCACATATGGTGTGTTTACCTGCACAAATACTGGTGTTTCTTTCAGTAGTTTTCCCACTGTTTTCATCAACAATTTGACAGGTGTAAGTGACCCCTTTATCCCACTCTTGCTGCGGCACCAATATCTCACTGTACACTTTCACATAGCCATTTTCCATCATTGAGACATCTAAAGCTGTGCCATTTTTCTCCATGGATTCTGAAAACCACTTGATCTTCAGGTCGAATCCTTTTCCAGAACACAGCAGCCTTTGTGGATCTGAACTCAATCTGAATGGACCCACACTGGGAACAACAACAAGCTCTATGGTAGGATCATCTAAGGGGAAAAAAAGTTATCAAATGTCCAGTGAAGAAAACATAATACATCCATATATTAGTAAAATGAATTTCAATCCATGAATTAATGTCTCCAATATAATTAATGATAAGGTTTCATTTGTTTACATTAGTTAACATGAACTAACAATAAAGAATAAGTATACGTCATTTGCTAATATTAGTTTATGCTAATCTCAACATTTACTTATACATTTTTTAAGATGAAAATCTGTTAACATTATGCACTGTGAACTATCATGAACATGTTATTAAATAAACAAAGGTGAATAAGTTTTGTAAAAATATAGTGAAGTGAAGTGAAGTGAGGTGAAGGCCAACTCTAGGTGACTCATACTCGGAATTTGTCCTCTGGATTTAACCCATCCAAATTAGTGCACACACATTGGAGCAGTGAGTTGTGAACACACACACACACACACACACACACACACACACACACACACACACACACACACACACACACACACACACACACACACACACACACACACACACACACACACACACACACTTGTACATCTATCTTTATGAGGACATTCATTGACACAATGCAATCTCTAGCCGCTTACTCTAACCTTACTCATCACAACTAAGTGCTTAACCCGAACCCTTACCCTAAACCTACCCTTAACCTAATTATAACCTTATCCCTAAAACCAAGTCTTGACCCTCAAACAGGCCTTTAAAGGCGTCTCAGAAAGTGAGGACCGGCCAAAATGTCCTCACTTTACTCTCTTTGTCCTCACTCCAATGGTCTAAAACTCAAACTGGTCCTCACAAAGATAGTTGTACAAGTACACACACACACACACACACACACACACACACACACACACACACACACACACACACACACACACACACACACACACACACACACACACACACACACACACACACACACACACACACACACACACACACACACACACACACACACACACATACCAGTGTTAAATTGATGTATTTTGTTAATTGTTACTACATTTACGTTATTGCATTAACAAATGTTAACAAACTAGACATTTTTTGTAAAGAGTTACTGATGTGTACTAAAAATGTTCATTCCCTACCAAAAAAGTTTCCAGCAGGTTCTGATGCAAAGCTTTTGAAGAGTCTGTGAACTGTGCAGGTAAATCTGTTTCCTTTCTTCTGGTGCTCACTAGGGATTGTAAAATGTGTGGTCAGGGACCAAAGGTTTTCAGAAGGGACCCAGTCCACACAAGTGAAATCTGAGATATCAGCTTGGTTGGCCTGGAAGTTGATGCAGACCTCACCAGAGGGGAGATCTTTTACAACACACTCCAGTAAAGCAGTGCCCGACTGAGCTGATTTCTTGAAAGTCCTCCTGATCACCACTACAGGATTCTTCTCCATATCAGCTGAAGATCAAACATACATTATAATTCACAATATGTGGTTTTCCGAACCTAAATTGTCACACTTGATCAGTGCAAAATAAACATCTTACCAACTTGAATTTTAGCGCTCTCTTCTGGGAAACATGGATGATTAGCAGTACAAACAAGGGTCTTCAGTTTCAACCACTCGGCTCTGGACAAAGTCAAGTTGCTCACAATTTTATTGAGAAGGTCTTTGGAAGCCCTGGTGGCTTTTTCTCTGTTGTCTACCAACCATAACACTTCAGTGTTGTGTGGCGCTTCAACAATACAAGAAATTTTGACTTCGTTCTCCTTCAAAATGTCTCTGAGATGGGCTCTCTTTACTTGGACTGAAGGTTTGAACACAGACTTTGCTGTAATTGTGAAATGAATAAAGTTAGATTCATAGAATGATGATGCTTATATACTAATTATACTGTATATATGATTCATCTTCATTTTTTACAATATTCTTTCATGAATTTTAGGATTGTCAGATATATGCACCTCATTGCAATGTTATTTGAACTATGAGAGAGAGAGAGAGAGAGAGAGAGAGAGAGAGAGAGAGAGAGAGAGAGAGAGAGAGAGAGAGAGAGAGAGAGAGAGAGAGAGAGAGTGAGTGTGTGTGTGTGTGTGTGTGTGTGTGTGTGTGTGTGTGTGTGTGTGTGTGTGTGTGTGTGTTGTGTGTGTGTGTGTGTGTGTGTGTGTGTGTGTGTCACATATGGTGTGTTTACCTGCACAAATACTGGTGTTTCTTTCAGTAGTTTTCCCACTGTTTTCATCAACAATTTGACAGGTGTAAGTGACCCCTTTATCCCACTCTTGCTGCGGCACCAATATCTCACTGTACACTTTCACATAGCCATTTTCCATCATTGAGACATCTAAAGCTGTGCCATTTTTCTCCACAGATTCTGAAAACCACTTGATCTTCAGGTCGAATCCTTTTCCAGAACACAGCAGCCTTTGTGGATCTGAACTCAATCTGAATGGACCCACACTGGGAACAACAACAAGCTCTATGGTAGGATCATCTAAGGGGAAAAAAAGTTATCAAATGTCCAGTGAAGAAAACATAATACATCCATATATTAGTAAAATCAATTTAAATCCATGAATTAATGTCTCCAATATAATTAATGATAAGGTTTCATTTGTTTACATTAGTTAACATGAACTAACAATAAAGAATAAGTATACGTCATTTGCTAATATTAGTTTATGCTAATCTCAACATTTACTTATACATTTTTTAAGATGAAAATCTGTTAACATTATGCACTGTGAACTATCATGAACATGTTATTAAATAAACAAAGGTGAATAAGTTTTGTAAAAATATAGTGAAGTGAAGTGAAGTGAGGTGAAGGCCAACTCTAGGTGACTCATACTCGGAATTTGTCCTCTGGATTTAACCCATCCAAATTAGTGCACACACATTGGAGCAGTGAGTTGTGAACACACACACACACACACACACACACACACACACACACACACACACACACACACACACACACACACACACACACACACACACACACACACACACACACACACACACACACACACACACACACACACACACACACACACACACACACACACACACACACACACACACACACACACACACACACACACACACACACACACACACACACACACACACACACACACACACACACACACACACACACACACACACACACACACACATACCAGTGTTAAATTGATGTATTTTGTTAATTGTTACTACATTTACGTTATTGCATTAACAAATGTTAACAAACTAGACATTTTTTGTAAAGAGTTACTGATGTGTACTAAAAATGTTCATTCCCTACCAAAAAAGTTTCCAGCAGGTTCTGATGCAAAGCTTTTGAAGAGTCTGTGAACTGTGCAGGTAAATCTGTTTCCTTTCTTCTGGTGCTCACTAGGGATTGTAAAATGTGTGGTCAGGGACCAAAGGTTTTCAGAAGGGACCCAGTCCACACAAGTGAAATCTGAGATATCAGCTTGGTTGGCCTGGAAGTTGATGCAGACCTCACCAGAGGGGAGATCTTTTACAACACACTCCAGTAAAGCAGTGCCCGACTGAGCTGATTTCTTGAAAGTCCTCCTGATCACCACTACAGGATTCTTCTCCATATCAGCTGAAGATCAAACATACATTATAATTCACAATATGTGGTTTTCCGAACCTAAATTGTCACACTTGATCAGTGCAAAATAAACATCTTACCAACTTGAATTTTAGCGCTCTCTTCTGGGAAACATGGATGATTAGCAGTACAAACAAGGGTCTTCAGTTTCAACCACTCGGCTCTGGACAAAGTCAAGTTGCTCACAATTTTATTGAGAAGGTCTTTGGAAGCCCTGGTGGCTTTTTCTCTGTTGTCTACCAACCATAACACTTCAGTGTTGTGTGGCGCTTCAACAATACAAGAAATTTTGACTTCGTTCTCCTTCAAAATGTCTCTGAGATGGGCTCTCTTTACTTGGACTGAAGGTTTGAACATAGACTTTGCTGTAAATGTGAAATGAATACATTTAGATTCATAGAATGATGATGCTTATATACTAATTATACTGCATATATGATTCATCTTCATTTTTTACAATATTCTTTCATGAATTATAAGATTGTCAGATATCTGCACCTCATTGCAATGTTATTTGAACTTTGAGAGAGAGAGAGAAAGAAAGAGAGAGAGAGAGAGAGAGAGAGAGAGAGAGAGAGAGAGTGTGTGTGTGTGTGTGTGTGTGTGTCACATATGGCGTGTTTACCTGCACAAATACTGGTGTTTATTTCAGTAGTGTTCCCACTGTTTTCATCAACAATTTGACAGGTGTAAGTGACCCCTTTATCCCACTCTTGCTGCGGCACCAATATCTCACTGTACACTTTCACATAGCCATTTTCCATCATTGAGACATCTAAAGCGGTGCCATTTTTCTCCATGGATTCTGAAAACCACTTGATCTTCAGGTCGAATCCTTTTCCAGAACACAGCAGCCTTTGTGGATCTGAACTCAATCTGAATGGACCCACACTGGGAACAACAACAAGCTCTATGGTAGGATCATCTAAGGGGAAAAAAAGTTATCAAATGTCCAGTGAAGAAAACATAATACATCCATATATTAGTAAAATGAATTTCAATCCATGAATTAATGTCTCCAATATAATTAATGATAAGAAGGTTTCATTTGTTTACATTAGTTAACATGAACTAACAATAAAGAATAAGTATACATCATTTGCTAATATTAGTTTATGCTAATCTCAACATTTACTTATACATTTTTAAAGATGAAAATCTGTTAACATTATGCACTGTGAACTATCATGAACATGTTATTAAATAAACAAAGGTGAATAAGTTTTGTAAAAATATAGTGAAGTGAAGTGAAGTGAAGTGAGGTGAAGGCCAACTCTAGGTGACTCATACTCGGAATTTGTCCTCTGGATTTAACCCATCCAAATTAGTGCACACACATTGGAGCAGTGAGTTGTGAACACACACACACACACACACACACACACACACACACACACACACACACACACACACACACACACACACACACACACACACACACACACACACACACACACACACACACACACACACACACACACACACACACACACACACACACACACACACACACACACACACACACACACACACACACACACACACACCAGTGTTAAATTGATGTATTTTGTTAATTGTTACTACATTTACGTTATTGCATTAACAAATGTTAACAAACTAGACATTTTTTGTAAAGAGTTACTGATGTGTACTAAAAATGTTCATTCCCTACCAAAAAAGTTTCCAGCAGGTTCTGATGCAAAGCTTTTGAAGAGTCTGTGAACTGTGCAGGTAAATCTGTTTCCTTTCTTCTGGTGCTCACTAGGGATTGTAAAATGTGTGGTCAGGGACCAAAGGTTTTCAGAAGGGACCCAGTCCACACAAGTGAAATCTGAGATATCAGCTTGGTTGGCCTGGAAGTTGATGCAGACCTCACCAGAGGGGAGATCTTTTACAACACACTCCAGTAAAGCAGTGCCCGACTGAGCTGATTTCTTGAAAGTCCTCCTGATCACCACTACAGGATTCTTCTCCATATCAGCTGAAGATCAAACATACATTATAATTCACAATATGTGGTTTTCCGAACCTAAATTGTCACACTTGATCAGTGCAAAATAAACATCTCACCAACTTGAATTTTAGCGCTCTCTTCTGGGAAACATGGATGATTAGCAGTACAAACAAGGGTCTTCAGTTTCAACCACTCGGCTCTGGACAAAGTCAAGTTGCTCACAATATTATTGAGAAGGTCTTTGGAAGCCCTGGTGGCTTTTTTTCTGTTGTCTACCAACCATAACACTTCAGTGTTGTGTGGCGCTTCAACAATACAAGAAATTTTGACTTCGTTCTCCTTCAAAATGTCTCTGAGATGGGCTCTCTTTACTTGGACTGAAGGTTTGAACACAGACTTTGCTGTAATTGTGAAATGAATAAAGTTAGATTCATAGAATGATGATGCTTATATACTAATTATACTGTATATATATATGATTCATCTTCATTTTTTTTACAATACTTTCATGAATTATAAGATTGTCAGATATATGCACCTCATTGCAATGTTTTTTTAACTATGAGAGAGAGAGAGAGACAGAGAGAGAGAGAGAGAGTGAGTGAGTGAGTGAGTGAGGAGTGAGTGAGTGAGTGAGTGAGTGAGTGAGGAGTGAGTGAGTGAGTGTGTGTGTGTGTGTGTGTGTGTGTGTGTGTGTGAGTGAGTGAGTGAGTGTGTGTGTGTGTGTGTGTGTGTGTGTGTGTGTGTGTGTGTGTGTGTGTGTGTGTGTGTGTGTGTGTGTGTGTGTGTGTGTGTGTGTGTGTGTGTGTGTGTGTGTGTGTGTGTGTGTGTGTGTGTGTGTGTGTGTGTGTGTGTGTGTCACATATGGTGTGTTTACCTGCACAAATACTGGTGTTTCTTTCAGTAGTTTTCCCACTGTTTTCATCAACAATTTGACAGGTGTAAGTGACCCCTTTATCCCACTCTTGCTGCGGCACCAATATCTCACTGTACACTTTCACATAGCCATTTTCCATCATTGAGACATCTAAAGCGGTGCCATTTTTCTCCACAGATTCTGAAAACCACTTGATCTTCAGGTCGAATCCTTTTCCAGAACACAGCAGCCTTTGTGGATCTGAACTCAATCTGAATGGACCCACACTGGGAACAACAACAAGCTCTATGGTAGGATCATCTAAGGGGAAAAAAAGTTATCAAATGTCCAGTGAAGAAAACATAATACATCCATATATTAGTAAAATCAATTTAAATCCATGAATTAATGTCTCCAATATAATTAATGATAAGGTTTCATTTGTTTACATTAGTTAACATGAACTAACAATAAAGAATAAGTATACGTCATTTGCTAATATTAGTTTATGCTAATCTCAACATTTACTTATACATTTTTTAAGATGAAAATCTGTTAACATTATGCACTGTGAACTATCATGAACATGTTATTAAATAAACAAAGGTGAATAAGTTTTGTAAAAATATAGTGAAGTGAAGTGAAGTGAGGTGAAGGCCAACTCTAGGTGACTCATACTCGGAATTTGTCCTCTGGATTTAACCCATCCAAATTAGTGCACACACATTGGAGCAGTGAGTTGTGAACACACACACACACACACACACACACACACACACACACACACACACACACACACACACACACACACACACACACACACACACACACACACACACACACACACACACACACACACACACACACACACACACACACACACACACACACACACACACACACACCTTTGTGGGGACTCTCCATAGACGTAATGATTTTATACTGTACAAACTGTATATTCTATCCCCTTACACTAACCCTACCCCTAAACCTACCCATCACATGAAAACATTCTGCATTTTTACAGTTTCAAAAAACATTACTTATTATGATTTAAAAGCTGTTTTCCTCATGGGGACCGCTGACTGGTCCCCACAATGGTGATCTCAGGTTTTACTATACTTGTGGGGACATTTGGTCCCCACAATGTAATATAAACATGAACACACACACACACCCACACACACACACACTGCCCCTATCCCTAAACCTACCCATCACAGGAGACATGCTGCATTTTTACATTAAAAAAAACATTGTTTTTTTATGTTTTTTAAGCTATTTGAAATATGAGGACTCATGTAATGTCCTCATATATCACGTGTAAGTTGTAATACCAGTGTAATATGCATGTCATTATACACATTTGTGTCCTCATATATCACAAAAACAAGAGCACACACACACACACACACACACACACACACACACACACACACACACACACACACACACACATATCCATACCCGTGTTAAACTGATGTATTTGTTAATTGTTAGTACATTTACGTTATTGCATTAACAAATGTTAACAAACTAGACATTTTTTGTAAAGAGTTACTGATGTGTACTAAAAATGTTCATTACCTACCAAAAAAGTTTCCAGCAGGTTCTGATGCAAAGCTTTTGAAGAGTCTGTGAACTGTGCAGGTAAATCTGTTTCCTTTCTTCTGGTGCTCACTAGGGATTGTAAAATGTGTGGTCAGGGACCAAAGGTTTTCAGAAGGGACCCAGTCCACACAAGTGAAATCTGAGATATCAGCTTGGTTGGCCTGGAAGTTGATGCAGACCTCACCAGAGGGGAGATCTTTTACAACACACTCCAGTAAAGCAGTGCCCGACTGAGCTGATTTCTTGAAAGTCCTCCTGATCACCACTACAGGATTCTTTTCCATATCAGCTGAAGATCAAACATACATTATAATTCACAATATGTGGTTTTCCGAACCTAAATTGTCACACTTGATCAGTGCAAAATAAACAACTTACCAACTTGAATTTTAGCGCTCTCTTCTGGGAAACATGGATGATTAGCAGTACAAACAAGGGTCTTCAGTTTCAACCACTCGGCTCTGGACAAAGTCAAGTTGCTCACAATTTTATTGAGAAGGTCTTTGGAAGCCCTGGTGGCTTTTTTTCTGTTGTCTGCCAACCATAACACTTCAGTGTTGTGTGGCGCTTCAACAATACAAGAAATTTTGACTTCGTTCTCCTTCAAAATGTCTCTGAGATGGGCTCTCTTTACTTGGACTGAAGGTTTGAACATAGACTTTGCTGTAAATGTGAAATGAATAAAGTTAGATTCATAGAATGATGATGCTTATATACTAATTATACTGTATATATATATGATTCATCTTCATTTTTTCCAACTTACCCAAGCACATACTGTATTCTCGCTTGAACTCTTTAGAGTTATGGCTGGCTTTACAAGTGTAATTTTTGTCTTCATATTTAGCATCGATAGATATTTGACTTATGTAAGTAAAGGTTTTCTCCACTTTATCAGTGGTCTGCAACATTTTATTTTTAGCAGCACTGACAAGCTGATCCCCACTAAGCCATTGTACAGTAAGTTTGTCTGGGTAATAATCCTTCAACTGGCACTGCAACACGATGCTATCACCTTCCTCTTTACTCAGCAGAGCAATAGTGGGTGCAGTGACACGTTTTACTATTAAAACAAATAAAGAATCAATTAACTTGCAATGGGGTTTAAACAACATATAAGAGGTACAGAGTTTATGAAAATCTTAATCAATCATACGAATACTAGTCTTTTTCAACAAATTCATATATTCAAATATTATTATAACCCCCCAAACCGCCCAACCATCATGATCGTTTTTTTAGTTGCAGATACTGGAATAGAAAAAAAAGATGGACAGAAAAGGAAATCAAAAAACATGCTTCAGAAAACATAGCAAATAGCAGATGGAAGCGTTAAGTAACAGTCAAGCTGAAATAGCAACCGAAAGCAGAACTGAAACCCATCTGCATCTTTGAAACAGCGTTAAGCACATCTGCACAGGAAAGACACCTTTTCATTTACATAAAATTACTCTCCTGTTATGCAATTTATGTTTTATTATACTTTGCAGCATGAAATATTCACACTTACAAATGTTCACACAAAGATGCCATGATTCAGTTACCCAATGAACAAAGTCTTGCAGATTTGGAAAAAAATAAGGATTGGATTTAAGAAATATATGTGCAGTTTATTATATTCAGAAATTAGGAAAATAATTCAAAACCTAGTGGCTTTTAAATATCACTGTATTAATAAGTGTCACTCCTTATGCAGTGTATATACATTTTTTTAGAGCAACATTAGTTTATCATGCAAATTAGTGTTTTTCCTTGAGATGTCAAAACAGATTTGTGAATTTGAGATTATAAAAAAATACAAGAGAAGTCAAATCGTTTCTTTCTTTTATTAAAGTAAAATCTAAAAACAAACAAACTGCACAATCACATATTTACAAAAAAAGTAATAACTGTCATAGTCTTAAAGCTCTTCTGAAAGGCCTTGCATCATGTCCTTCAAGGGATCTTTCATTTCACCTGAAAGCATAATTTGACACCAATTACAGCAAGGAAAAAACCTAAAATAAATGTCAATAAAAATACAAAGCCAATTTTTTGGCATCATCTCTTTCTCCAAATGATAACTTAACTCAAATACTCCTATAAAATCTAGTCTCAAGTTTATACTAAATTGAAAATTAGCTAAAAAGTCTAAAAGTGTATACCTTAACAAAAGTAGCACCTATGCTGTAGAACAAGGTGATGAGGAACAGGAAAACAAAGGTTACAGCAGTGTTTGAAATGCCGCTATCATCTGTATCAATGGGTTCAAACAGGGGATGCTCTATCCACACGATCCACTCTGCGGAAACCGACAAGAACACATTTGCATTAAGACACTGTCCAACACAAGCTGAGAATAAGAGTATGGCATATTCCTTGTGTCTATGATGATTTTAACCAATTTGCCTGTCCATCCTTATTAAAAATAATAGACAGGTGAACTAAAGGCAGGATTATGACGATTTTAATCAATTCACCTCTCCATCTTTATTCAAAATTAGACAGGTGAACTAAAGGCAGGAATGTTCAGTAAAAGGAAACCAATTAGAATAGGCCTATTGTGAGGGACATATAACCTTTAATAAACCATATTGTTTCTGAAATTTGATGATTTTTATTTTATTTATCTTAACTGCTTACTACATAATTAAACCATATACTTAAAGGTGACCATTAATGTATCAATTAAAACAGCAAAAAAGTTGTGAATGTGTCTTGGCATGCTGTAGATGAACCGATGTGACTAAGAATGATCATTCTCTATGCCCTAAACTATATACAATGGAGAGCATTATGTATCTGAGTGATCATAATATCAAAGAGATTAAATGACATACAATATGCACACACACACACACACACACACACTGATAAGCATCTACTCTCATTATTTATAATTTTATGTGCCTTCTAATGGTACTTTGTCTTCTGAATAAAATTATTTTAAAATGTTTCATTTTATGTATTTATTTTAAAGTTCTCTTAACATGCATCACTTCGATGTATTATTATTTGAACTGTTTCATGTCTTCATTTTTTAAATTTCAATTTATTTTGATCGATGTTATGATGTCTTTGTGACCTTATATGCTCACATATACACTGGGACAGACACATGTAAAACTGGCATGATAACATAAATTAAGTGCACAGGAAATATGCTTAGTTTCTTTTTTTATTAGTCTTTTTCTAAATTGATGCGCATGAAAATATCTCAAAAAGCAAGAAGCCACAAACATTAAAGACAAACACACTTACAATTATAGACATGTAACTCAAAAACAAAAACAAACACAAGATGAACAAGATAAACACTCAACAAGCATAACAATCACATGCATAACGATCTATTCCTTGCAGCACGCGGGGGTTTTCATACTTAGATTAATTACACCTGGCTTATCAATGTTATCAGCAATAGATCTTGTCAGTACGCGCATTTTTGTGTCAATGGTTTCATGGTACACTACACAACTGTACACTGTACCACTCTTCCATTCGGAAGAATCCACTGTGATCTGACTGTAGACCGAGAAGTATTTATCATTCTGCATTGGCAGGCTAGTTTTGTGCTTGTACCCATTCGCAGGTTCATCATCAACAAGCCAAGACACAAACACCTCCTTGGGGTAGAAATCCTTCACATAACATGTCAGGGTCATCGTTTCACCCTCTTTGTACTCTGGGGGTGCAAACATGTAAACAGAGGGTCTTTTGCCTTCATTACCTAGTAAGACAAAATCACAATTAAGACCAGAATGCTGAGTCATTCTCCTTTTCTTCTTATTTTTTTATAAACTTCATGTCAGTTGTAATGAAGACTGTATATCAGGAGACCTTGTGGAAGCAAGAACTGTGTAACGTTTTACAAAAATAAAAAAGACATACCATTTTCTCTGGTGAACGTAGTCTCCATGGGATATGATAGTTGTGAGTGTTCAACTGTACACTTAAATTCTGTGCCGTTGGTCCATTCTTCATAGCCTATAGGGGCTTTGAGTTCCACTTTTTTTTTTTTCTTGACATCTTCCCCTGATGCCTCACGGATGACGAAATGATTTGCTTTAATCTCTATTTTTGTGAATCCTGAATTTCCAGAAGCTGTGCACTTCAGCTCTCCTTCTCTATTTTTCAGCATGTCTTCAAGGGAGGGAGGGTCTATAACAACAGCAATATTGCTGCACTCTTGCATAGAAGCTATGTACAAAAATCAGACATGCAACAGATTTAGAGAGAGGTAAACATTATGAATAAAGAAACATTCACAGTCCTCAAGAGAAAACATACCTTTATATAGGTACTCTTTGCTTTGATTTCCCGTCTTGTGCTCGAACTCGCACTTAACTGTGGTGTCTTCGTTCGTCCATGTGTCGGCACTGATTTGAAAAATGCTTGTGGCACTATACAAGGTTACTGAGGCATTCTTCTCACTTGTGTCATATGTGCTTATCGCATTTGTCACCACCTTGCCATCCTGAAACCACTTAAACGAGTATGTTTTAGGCGAAAACTGCCGGGCTAAACACAAGAAGGTTCCTGTCCCATTCTCTAACGCCTCTTTTGTAGGTACTGTTAAGAAGAGAGTTGCAGACCGATCTGGCGCAGGGGCTGACAACAGAAAAGCAAAGAGGACATGAAAAGCAAGAAAATAGTGCAACATGCTTTATTAAGCAAAGCACATAGATGCTCTTAGTTGAGTTTGAACGTCAATGTCAAATGTTGTAGCCTATATTTATACATATATATGTGTGTGTGTGTGTGTGTGTGTGTGTGTGTGTGTGTGTGTGTGTACTTTACATGTACATGTGTAATTTATATATATATAATAATAAGAAATATCATATGCCATTGTATTCCCTGGCATGAGGTCAGAAAGCCTATGCATATTATGTGCTTTTCTGTTCTAACATTTTTTTTAGACCTATAGCCTTGTTGTTCTCAGCTAGTGTAAACATTCACTGTCAGACTTTGATAAAGGACAACTGCTTGACATGCACAAAAATATAACAGCAGGTTCATTGGCATTAAATAATTTAATCAGTGATCTAACACAACTAAAAGAGTGTAATAAAATGTCTATTCAAACATGACCCTCCAAAAAGAAACATCATCCCAACAGCAATATACAAGACCCAACAGCAATTATAAAGAAACACGTGAAGTAGCTAAAATGTCAAATGTAAAATGTTAGACATTTTAGAGATGTGACTTACCTGGTGGAACTACTTTAGTTGTTAAAGTGCCTTGTGAATTTGAAGCTTCACATATGTAAGGGTTTTGAGGATTCCAGTCGCTTTTTTTCACACGCAGATGGCTGATTTTGGTATAGTCTCCGTCACTCCCGAACGCTGGATACTGCACGAAAGTATCCAGATCTTTATCACCAGGAGCCTTCCATTTGAAAGTGAGTGAGTCCGCAGGGGAGAAACCTCTGGTCAAGCAGCCGATGGTGAGGAACCCACTAGAACCAGCAGAACACTGAGACAGGGCGAAGATGGACTTCGGAGCCGATGGTTGAGCTGTAGAGACATTACATCTTTCTCAGACAATATATAAACTACAACATATAACGTAACATACTGTACATGTGCAACACTATTAGGCCATGCCAAATGAACGAACAAACCAATGAATGAATGAATAAAAAAATAAAAAAATAAATTGATTGAGATTACACCGCTATCTTCGGTTTGCATCAGAGTTCTGCCATGTTGATAAACTGCTTAGTCTAGGCTATCTTGCAAGTAAGTCATCTTTTCTTCTTCTTCTTTTAAGACTGGTCATAACTTTTTAAAGAAAGTTACTTTAACAAGTAAACTGGTCTAATTTGAATAAAAAAAGTAAGACTAATTAGGCTACCCCTTGGTTGACTGCTTTGGTCTCAGTCTTATAGTCTTCTTTTCTTAGTGTGAAGAACATTTTAATAATCTAAAAAATCTTTTGTGCAATGGAAAGGTTCCATGGATGTTAAAGGTTATTCATCAATGTAGCCTACATTGTTCAAAATAAAGGTTCTTAAATGACATTGATGAATAACCTTTAACATCCATGGAACCTTTCCATTGCACAAAAGATTTTTTAGATTATTAAAATGTTCTTCACACCAAGAAAAGAAATGTTTCTTTTAAGAACTGTTCACTAAGGTTCTTTGAGGAACCCAAAATAGTTATTCAAGGGTATTGCTGTAAAAACTCAAGTGCAACAAAAAAAAATGTTTCCGCTAATTCGCGAGATTTTATGTTTTACGTGACCGACTATAAGACTGAGACCAAAGCAGTTAACCAAGGGCCAATTAGTCTTACTTTTTTATTCAAATTAGACCGGTTTACTTGTTAAAGCAACTTACTTTAATAAGTTATGACCAGTCTTAAAAGAAAAAGAAGAAAAGATGACTTACATGCAAGATAGCCTAAGCAGTTTATCAACATGGCAGGACTCTGATGCAAACCGAAGATAGCGGTGTAATCTCAATCAATTATTATTTTAATTTTTTTATAAATAGCAATGTAGATGCTATATGTCATATAGCATATTTACAGTCATATTTATTATCAGACATATAGGCTAATAAATACTAAAGGATTATCTAAACGAATAATAATTTATTAGGCTACAGAATAATGACTGCATAATGACTTTTCATTTTGATTCAAATGAAACAGTTATTGTAACTCATGGAGCGTAAATTAAAAAATAAATTGAATGAAAATTCCAAACTTTTGAGAATTTTAAATAAAAGCATAATAGAGCAGTTTGCATAACTTTGAACTATGAACATATGTGGAAAAAAACGAAAAAAGTAGCTATCATTAACAAATATATATTTTCTTTTCATTGTGCTTGAAATAATTTCTTGAATAGCGGTTGTTACACAAAAAACATTCTTTTAAATCTCCAATTGTCATCTTCATGCATTGACAGATACCTTTGTAAATCAGTAAGCTATGCCAGTTTATTATTATTCTTTAATAATATCGGGATGCAATCAACAATTTAGAATATAACACATTATATTAGTGGATAGCAGTGCATACATTTAAAACGACCCAGAGACGTTACAGTTTAGTTAGACTTTTTAGTCTTATATTTATGCTCTGGCTGTTTTCAGCGTCTAACATTTGAGCAGTTTAAGGCAACACATGTGAGAATAATGTACAACGAAATGAGTCGTTTAAGAATACTGTTGTATTTTTGTTCGTTTTTAACAGATGAACATTTTTTATAAAAGTGTGTAGTCTTTTAGTGAAATGGACAACAGCTAAATTAAGACAGTTTGCAATAGAAAACTCTAACTCTTTTACAGATAGGCTATAATAATAATAATAAATAATAATAATAAAACACACGTGAAATTTTGTCTCTTTTTTTACGATACAAATGTCCTTGCAATTAATCATAAAATCTTACTGTTTGT